GACTACTATAAGGGACCTTAAGGGGCTATCATAGGGATCCATTCCCCCATTCCCTGCTAAGCACCAGACAGTAAGTAGAAGGATTAGTTCGAGGTTTGATTCGGGTTGAAGTTCAACGTTGAGTGATTGCATGTTCTTACTGCTACCTTAGGCTTCTTACAGGCATGTGAGCAAAGACACTTAGGCTTTGAGGCCTTGTTCCACGTAGTCTGCGGCAAGGGCCCAGACTTCCCTCACCTCACTTGCTTCAAATGTTCCGGGCCGTAGCACTGGAAATGATGTACCAACCAGAGCTGGAGTCTTTGCCTGAATATAGGAGCCTTAACCATTACACTAGACTGCAGCTATAACAAGGAGAGCTGAGGATTAGTATTGGTAACCATGCGGGCTGCTATATTGGACACGAGGTTCCGTCAGAGCGCAAGATCTGCGCGACTGAAGGATAGCCGAGAGAATGTAACTTCTACCGTCATCCCCTTCGGGCTCTTACAAGTCTACTAACCCTAAACCCTAAACCCTTAATCCTAAACTTACTCTAACTGTTCAGGCCCATTCGAAGTTCGGGTGTGCCACATGACTGAAGCCAGACTCCCGAGTGAGCTGCACCAAAGAGGCAAGGGTTCTAGGCTTTGTCATACAGCACACAGCGATACAAAGCGCATACCCAAGGTAGGTCGTCGCCAGAAGCCCAGTGTCACAGATACTGTAATAAAACATATTATAGCATGTAACAGCACACGAGGCATTAAGATAGTCTATTACGTCGAATACGATTAGAAGAGCGTGACTCAGAGCCTCGTTCCCTGTCTGAGGGCCAGGCCGTCCTCCACGAAGACTTGGAAGCTAACTTGATCGCCGACGCCGAAGTGCTGGAGATTCCTTACATGATGCACGAAAGTTCGCACGCTCGACTGCAAACAGCAGCCATGGCACGTGATGATGATGATGATGATGGTGATGATGATCCAACCACGCTCACCACCATCATCAGCATCATCCCACCATCGTCGTGAGCATCATCATTATCGTCATCTTCTTCGTTTTCTTCATCATCCTTAACAATAAACAACCTTCAGTTATACTGACCATATTCCTAAACCCCAAAGTCGTCGGCTTGATTGCGCAATCCAAGATGATTAAGCCGAAGCCCATGACGTGAATTCGATAAAGGGGTTTCCGTAACATAGGTAAACTAGAACAGGCTTCGAGAGGTTCCTATACTATAGTTCTACTAAGCAAACCCAAGGAACATGATCCAAGCTTTTACACTACAGCTGGAAACCCTCTGGAAATAAGGGACAGGATGCTCTGGAGAGACGATGACGTCTCGGCCGAAGACCACTTCGGAGTCACGGCAGGCGATGAATCCAAGGCCCTTCACCGGGCTGATGTTCTTGATCACCCCTGCGTAGACCTCCAAGGAGTCAAGAAGGAGAATCTCTGCTCATGCTGTGGCCCGGATAATTCGATTAGGTGGGTTTTGGGTAGGGGGGTATATCCCCAAGGAATGCTATGCCTAATGATTCAGGCTTCCAGAGTACTTGTAATCAACAGCCTTTTCGGTGATTACTGTTGTTGCTGTGGTGCCGCCGGCAGACCATTGTTCACGTTCCTGTCGTTCTATCAACAACAACGGAAGGTTTGGAAGTAAACATGTACCAGTGAATGCTGTGCACGGCCATGGAAGCCTCAGCGTGGTCTGTGGGTGCAGAGTGCAATTCGTCACCAATACAAAGAGTTCCTAAAAACAATAATAGCAATAAGAAGTATTGCTCGAAAACCGCCCCTTTAAAAATACTAGTAGCAATTAAAGTCGTGATGACTGCCGAGGGAGTGAGGGTCAGATTCGGTCAGATGTAGGGATCAGCCCCTGTTGTGTTCTGGCCCCTTACCCATCTTCCGCTCTAGCGCCGAAACTGGCACCCAGATAGTCAGAATACGATTTCTCTGCCTGCCTGAAATATAGATCCGTTACTGACAGTCTTAGACGCTACCATCTTTCTCTCCGCTTCATCCAGCCTGCTGGTCATCTGCCTCCTCACGTGCGTCAAATGCCATGTCCACCTGGTAGGGGCAACTTTGATTACGACACTGCCCGCGGCAAGGTTTAAAAGTTTAGGGTTGAGTTCAGGGTGGGTTTGGGGTTCGGGGTTACAAGGTTGAAGCCACAACATGTTCACGTTTTCTATCGAAGCTATCATCTCCGCTGCATATCATAGAACGCCTTTCCCGACGCCCATAGTTTACGCAGATTGTATGCCGGTCGGAAATTGGTACATTTACACTTCGGGCGTTTCAAGACCAAGAATATGGCGGCCAGCAAAAAATCATGCAGAGCCCGGACGATTTTTGGCTCCATGGTTGGGCGTACTAGCAGGGCCTGAACAATCATACTGGGGAGCCCTCAAGAATACCGTGACTAATGGCTCCTTGATGCAGACCCCAGATCCATACATACCCCCTTCCATACAGGCCCTGCATCTAGTATCTCAGTTTTATTGGTCTTTCGTATGTGAACATATCAATCAGGGGTCTACGATATATGTCCAGCAATCGAAGGCGCTCTGGTGTTAAGGACACCCTAGAAACGAACGTTACTTCCAAAACCTGCCAAGTTTAGGGTGGGTCTCGGGTTTAGGCGTTCTTGCGCTTCAGGGTTTTTGGGTTTTGGGCGAGGGGTTTGGAGCTTTGGACTTAAGAGTTTGAGGGTTTAGGGTTTTAGGTCGTTCAGGGTTTGGGGATGGAGGTGTAGCTTCAAATGAACGACAACGTCAAAATACACCCAAAAGCCGACAGTTCCGTGACCCAAACCGAATGTGGGGCGAGCACCAAAGCAGAGCACCAAGCAAACGCCGGACCAGCACAGCGGCTTCCGGCAGGGAGGAGCGTTAAGGAACCCTAAACCCTGAACCCCTGAACCAGATGGGTACTTCCGAAAATAGGGGGTACCTTATTTGGGAGGTCTTATAATAAGGATCCTACTATATTAGGGTCCCCTATTTTCTGAAACCCCCAGATCATTCTAGAGCCCCCAGGCCTCGACCTTGGCATCCTCCGTTGGGGCCGCGCGCCCGATAGGCAGTTTTTTCGGAGCTGTCGGCCCCTTCCTGAGTAGGGCTAGTGTTTAGGGGGTTTAGGGCCTAGGGTTTAGGGCTTAGGGTTAGGGTTTAGGATACTGGGGCTTATAGCTTAAGATGCAACAACAAATACTCAGCTGACAGACACAAAGCTCGAAGAGTACTGTTCCCATGCCCCAGAAGCAACCTCAAGGTGATCATTCATCTTGCTTTCTCCTAAAGCTCAAGCCACACAGCACCTAAACCCTAGTCGAATAATTAAGGCCCCTCTATACCAACACCCTTAGAGAAACCTCTACAGAACCCTGAACCCTGAACCCTAAACCCTAAACCCTAAACGCTACCGAAATGTCGAGACGAGTCTCCCCCGTCCTTTAGCCTGAGGAAGTCTCTCCGGGCTTCGGGGCCTCTTGCTGCCTTGATCCCTGCCTTCGTGCTCGCGCTTCCTGCAACAACAAAGTCTCAGACTCAGAGAGTCTAGTGGTTTCATGGTGTAGGGCCTAGGGCTTGGGAGTTAGGATTTGGGGCTCAGGGCTCGAAGTTTGGAGCTTGCGGTTTAGGGTTTCCTGCTTGGGCCCGAATGCTTGCGCCCATGTACTGGCTGGATTCAGACGTTTCCAGGCCAAAACGAGGCTACTGCATTGGAAATTACAATGAATGGTGCGGCCACGTCGACATGAGTGCAAAGTATGCATTGCACAACACCAGGAGCGGGGAATGTTCTGCCGGTCGCACTTCTGCAGGCACCTCGCGGCTGCACTAGCCAACAAATTATCTTTACTCCCAACGCAAGTGTGTACCACAGTGTGTGCGGAATGAAGGTGCCGTATTTTCTAAAAACTCTGAGAAAGAAAACACAATTCTGTAACTCCCCTATGAAGGCCCCTTATCTAAGGGACCCTCGTTTGGGGAAACTCCCAGGTCCTGCCGCCGCGGGATCCGCGATGACGTGTCCTCTGTGCCTTTCCGAAGACGGTTTTGGCATTCAAGGCGCTTCGTATGCGGCTCACAGATCTACACATCTGCATGTATGTATGTGTATGTTTGTATGTATATATATATATATATACGTACATATACCCATATACATATTGAACATATACATGTACATGTACACATTATATACATATACATATACATATGCAAATACAATGCATATATATATATATATGTATATAGCTAGATAGATAAATAGATAGATAGGTAGATAGATAGATGAATAGATAGATAGCGCTAGATAGATAGATAGATAGATAGATAGATAGACAGAGTAATAAATAGATAGGTAGATAGGATTAGATAGGTAGGTAAATAGACAAATAGAAATAGACAGATAGACAGCTCGGTAGATAGTTCGATAAATGGATAGATAACCTAGATAGACAGATAGATAAATAGATCGATAGACAAGTAGATAGATAGGTAGAGAGGTAGATAAGTAGATAGGTATAGATAAATACATGGATGGATAGATGAGACTTATATATATATATATGTGTATATGTAAGGTGCTCCCTCTTGGAACCTACTTCCAAAGGATGTTGCCGCATGATGACATGTTTACGCTTGACGTGTTAAGAATAACGAAAATATGTATATTCTGAATATAGTTACACGCCCTTGCATATTTACGTGTTCTGCGATATTGTGGCATTACATATGTGATTGTGTGCACAACAGCTCTTACCAAATGCTTGCATTGACGCCGGCATTGAAAAATTGAACTTCAATGCACCCAAGCCCGTTGAGCCAAGAACCAAAATGCCCAGGACTCTTGAATCTTGGTTCCTGTGGCCCGGCGCATTGAAGTCCAATTTTTGAATGCAGGTTTCAATGCAGCCAAGTTTATGGGACCAAGATCCAAGATTCAAAAGTCCTGGGCATTTTGGTTCTTGGCTCCTGTGGTCCGGGCGCGTTGAAGTTCAATTTGTCGATTCAAATTTCAATGCATACAGGCCCTCGGAACCAAGAACCAAAATTCAAAAGTCCTGGACATCTTGGTTCTTGGTTCCTGGGCCTGGCCGCATTGAAGCTCAACTTTTTCAGGGCCGGTTTCAATGCAGACAGGCCGATGGGAACCAAAAAACCATTGTTGAATGCCATGTCCGATGCCGAACATTATATACCAATTGTATTATCATAAAACACAGCTTAACGACATCTGCGCGACACATTCGCCCTGATGAGTGTGTACACAGCTACGAGGGTTTGATGGAAAAGGATTCCGTCTGTGTCCCTGCTATGGAGACAAACAAAATATGAGAATACAACACTACTATCGTCTCATACTATTATGCAATATGATAATACGATAGAACGCTGAATATGGTGATACGACTAATGTTATCAGTCAACACGTTTGTCATTGTACTATCACACTGCATCATGGCGCATCATAGGGTAGGTTACAGCACGTGCCACAGAATCCTTTCGTGCATCTTGCAGCAGCTGTTTTTGTCCATTTAGGTTCCAGCATGGCATGGCTGGGCATTCCGGACAATCTCTGCGCAGTTGCAACATGTATGCACCCGTGGCTGAGCTGCCAGGATGCATGATAGGCGAAACACCTTCGCACTATCCGATCAATCTTCACATTCAAAATAACAGTAATACTACTACTCATCTGAGTGTCTTGGTGGTAAACGACTGCCCTTCATACAAATCACAATCAAAATCAATGCATTCGGACTGCAGCTGAAGCACAAGTCCCGCCTGGCCGTATTGCCCGTAAGTACGATTCATGCATGGTCAGTGGTATTCTTCGCATTTACCATATCAATGCAGGAATCATAGTGACTGACCATCACGTTCTCGAATGCTCGATCTCAAACTGTGGTGTGCGTGTCAAGCTAGGTGGCTCGTGCTTCGTGTAAAAAGGTACCAACCATATACCATTCTCCCACACACAAACGCCAGGACATGGTGTTTACTACAAGAAATTGTCAGGGAAGAGTGAGTGAGTGAGTGAGCGAGCGAGCGAGTGAGTGAGTGAGAGTCGCCCCTTGGCAAAAGGACCGGCACCCGCTTTGTCTCCACCCCATACTTGCTTAGATAATCATGACAATTGTGAATCAAGGTGCGCAAGATGAAACAAGGTCTTTTAGAAACTTGCATAAGACTCCTCTATTGAAGTCGATGCTAACTGAACAAAGTGATTAAATGGGTACTTTCAAGAACTACGCATGCGAGTGAGCGGTTCACAGCATCTGGAACCTGCACAAAGACATTTCTTGTCCAGTTGTTTGAAGGACTCGTCGAAACGGCCCAGTGATTCTGTGGAACTGCAAACCGAAATTGCAACTACATGATGACCTTAACATAGTGTCTAGGCTTTAGGGCTTTAGGGTTTGAGGCTCAGGGTTTAGGGTTTTAGGGTCTATGGGGGTCTAACAGTAAGGCCTTGGCGGCGACCATGGCGACCCCAGCTGGAATCGTAGACTGGTCGGAAGTCTGAGTCGTACGTCCAGCGCGTGTCCTGGTCTGGCTCTGGGTTGCTCTGCGCCTTTGGCCCATACACTCTCCCAAAACCCAAAACCCAAAACCTTCTGAACCCCAGTGGCTGAATCGTCCGCCAAAAAACCCTGAACCCCTAAACCCTAAACCTTCAACCTACCCAAACCCTGAACCCAGAACCTTGAACGCAAACCACCGCAGATTCCTGGAGCACTCTATCCCTCAAACCCGCTGTCCGAAACCAAAAGCTCGTCACCATAAACCCGAAATCCTGAAATCTTCGTCAGTCCCTAGGGTCTAGGGCTTAGGGTTTTGGGTATAGGTTTTCGGTTTAGGGTTTAGGAAGTTGACCTGTATGTAAGCATAAAAAATCTCCAGCAACCATTTGGCTTGATGCCGTCCGACACCTTATGAAGCCCAACCCTCCAAATGCATAAAAGGGTTTCGGGCTCCTTCATGGTGTAATCATAATCATAACAAGGAACCCTAAACCGCTCAGGAAAATATGGGTAGTTACTTAATCTAGAAGGCTAAAGAATTACCTATACTATTTTGGGGGTTCCATATTGTAACTGCAGTACAATATCCCCCAAAACCCTATTCAAATTCTTGAGGCCCCTACATTAAGCTTCTATATTACCCGACGTGTCCTCTGCCTCCTGCGGGGATCCCGAACTCCTTGAAAGAGCCGTCGAGCAGTGGTCGGCATCTGCAAGAGCTCGGCTTCTTCGTGAAGCTAAGGGGTTTAGTAAGGATTTGAGGCTTAGGGTTTAGGATTCGCGAGTTGGGAGTTTGGAATGTAGGTTCAGGACTTTGGGTTCAGGAGTTAGGATTCAGAACTCAAGGCCTAAGGTTTAGGAGTCAGGACTGAAGGTACAAGGTGCATAATGCAGACTCTTGACTCGGTAGGATTTAACCATTCGGGTTTAGGGTCTAGGATTCAGGGGGCTTGTGTTCGGGCGGTTCAGGGTTTAGTGTCCAGAAGTTGCTGTTTGGCCTGAGTTTGAAGGGGAGGACTTGAGTTCTTGGAAATCCGGTCTGACAAAGCACCGTAGAATGTCAGTTGACATGCCTATGCTGTTAATATGATACAGCACAGCGGTTTTGGCAGTTAGTGGCAAGAGACTCATAATCACCAGGGCAAAACCGATAAACAATGCCGACAACATTGCTAGCAATAAGAATGCAGGTCACGAATCAATGAAGACACAACGAGTACGTACCGTTGATAGTGACAACTGGGTAACCTTAGTAAGAAGACGATTGCAAGTCATCCAAGACGAATGCCGGCAAGCCTTGAAACAGTAATTGCTCAACGCTTATCATGGAAAATGAGTAGCAGCAATTATCCTAGTGGCTACGAACGAAAGACGCATCAGGGCAAATGAAGAATCAGGATTTTGGGTTTCGGGGCAAAAAGATAAGGTTCAGAAGATGGAACTTGCAGACCCCTTGGCTACTCCACTTCACGAAAGACAGCAGCTTTCCACAAAAGGTCAGTGTGCAGGGTTGGGGAGGGACCCTAAACCCTAAACCCTAAACCCTAAACCCTAAACCCTAAACCGGGGGACCATGCCTGCGGCTGCGCTTTGCCAACCGGAGGTCTGGATTCCATGGTCAAACAACGCGGAAACCATGGCGAAAGCTTCTCGGATATGCTATGTTGAGATTGCTTTATGTGGCTAGGGCTTAGAGCTTGGTGAATGTTGTAAGCTTAAAAAATGTCATTTTGTGATGGAGGTGGTGGAAATCTCGCAGGCCCTCTCTGTTCCTGTCGCCCGCCTGCCTTTGCAGTCTGAGTCAAGGAACCGTCTGCACAACAGGTTGCCGTAAGTTGCTCATCTGCCGAGTTTGCAAGTGCTTGGTTGGAACCCTCACGAGCCAATCAAAGCAAACCAAGCGTGCACCCATGTGACAGGAATACAGGGAGGGAAGGAGACAAAGCGAGCAGCCCAACAAACGCAAACGTCATCATGGTCCATGCTGCTACAGCCTGCACAGACGCCGCAGGCTTCTCTACCTTGCAGTTCTACCTCATGCACCCGATCAAGCCCATCTTTACTGTTGCCAGGCGCGGTCTGCAACAGGCGGGGTGCTGATATCCATGCTTCTGCTGGATGTCAGACAGCTGCCATGGTGGGCATTCCTCCCGACTGGGTACGGAGAGAAGGCACCACATTGCTAGGCTACTAAGGCTGTGAAGGCCATGAACCTTATGATGCCCTTGCATAATACCGGGTCATTTCCTCTGCAAGCTTTACCCGTATGCGACTGACAAGAGGCACCATGACGTCTTCAATACTCACCTTGCTGAACACCACCTTCCACATCTAGCACAGAGCATTTGCACGAGGCGCACTGCCTGTTGGCATGGTGCTGACAGGATACTGGGCAGCACCGCTAAAATAGAATACTATAGTACACGATAACAAACAACTATTTACTTCACATACTATAACCGACCATCATGGACTATAATATAAAATCACATACTATCATATACAAAGTCTGCCTTAGCCACGAAGCTTCGCCCGCTGGTAACCCGTCGGAGACTGCGTTCTTCTCACCGAGGTTTCCGGCAATCAGCCGAGAAAGAGCTGCTGGAAGGATAATGGTTTACCTAAAGTCTCCACCGTACCCTGATGTAGGGGCCTTAATAATTAGAATAGGGTTTGGGGTATATTATACTATACCTATAAGAAGGAACCCCCAAAATAGTATCCCTCAAGTTCCTTTTTTTGGTTTGCACAGCTTGTATTTAGGATCCTATAAGGTAACTGACCCATAAAGGCACTCACCAGACTTCAGACCCTAAGCCCCAAGCCCCAAACCTTCAAATCGAAACCCTTAAACCTAAGCCATATGAGTCACTAATGCCCTACTCCCTGAAACCCCAAAATCACAGAGTTGTATTAACAATACTACGATATAATCATACTATATGTATAGGTATACTGTATCAAAAAATCTGTATCCTAAGAACCCTTCAAGCGGAAACCTCAGGATGATAATAAGATGTGGGAAGCTACGGGTGTCAAAACCGACAAAACGGGACCAGGCGATGCGACACTTCGGTGGCCGAGAGGGGCGGCCTGGAGCAATGGGACTCCAGGGTTTGAGGTTTAGGGTTAAGGGTTTAGGGTTTAGGGTTTAGGGTTTAGGGTTTAGGGTTTAGGGTTTAAGGTTTAGGGTTTGAGGTTTAGGGCTTAGCGTGTAGGGCTTCCTTTCGGGTTCTGTTTTTGTTAGCGCCTTTTCCGTCTGCCTCGTGGTGTCCGGAACCTCATGGGTTTAGGATTTAGTTTAGGGTTCAGAGTGTAGGGATCGTTTGCTTTCTTGGTGGGAATTTAGGAGTCAAAAGCATAAAACAGGTGCCTTAGCGGTCAGAGAAGGGTTTTGGGGTATATCATACTAGATGTGTAGTTCTTGTATTTGTTCAGCCCCCCCACATTTACATGTCAGGGTTGGGTTGGTCCATGTTGGGCTTCAATTTGTCGTGGTGCCTAGACTTTGGAGGCAAAAACCCAAAAGCAGGGGCGAAGATGGCTAGCACCCTAAATTCCTCTCCGCTGACGATCAAGAATCGCTGAACGCTTCAAGCTTTTGGCCTTGGGGCTTTGGAGCTTTCCGGATTATGGACTTGGGATCGGGATATGCCCTTAGGCACACAAGTTGCCAGAGATTCAGAGGTCTCAGTTCGACTTGCCGAGGGCGGCGACCGTCATGCCCTAAAGCCGCCCTGAAAAAACTCGCAGGATCAACTGCCGAAGTCTAGGACAGTCCCGCACACCCTTTTCCAGCCGAAGCAACGCCGCCACCTTATCCCTCAACCATCAATTCCTACTAAACCCCAAACCCTAAACCCCTAAACCCCTAAACCCTAAACCTTAAACCCCTAAACCCTAAACCCCTAAACCCTAAACTCTAAACCCTTCAGCCCAGATCAGCCTCGCCCGGGCTTAGCTGCTCGAACGGCGGCGCCGTCTGCTGCGGCTATGGCCTCGGAGGGCAAGAGAAAAGGAGAGAGAAAGAGAGAGAGAGAGAGAAACAGAAAGAGGGAGAGAGAGAGAGAGAGCGAGAGAGAGGGCGAGCACAGAGAGAGAGAGAGAGACTGAAATCCTGAACCACTAAACCATGAATGAAGCCATGGACGGCACGATGTGCCTAAGCACTACTGGTCTTCAGGAACCAGGGACGTCAAACACGTTCATCGTATAAAGTGTAGGGGTTAGAAGTTAGGCCTATGCGGGCTCGTGGCATGTCGTAGGAGCTCGAGAAATGATGCGTTTACTGCAGAGTCTACCGTTATTCCTGCCGTTTGGTGCTCTTCGGACCTACAATGAATAGCACATAGTACACAATATATGGTCTATAACATCTAGTGAGTACATAATACATATTACGTGCTACATGGTATATGGTTAAAGTCTACAGTACAGGTATTATAGACTATATCGTACGTAGTATACAATATTTGACATGCATATCTAAGATAACATACAGTATGTGAAGTATATGCAACTTATTATATGCAACATGAACTCTGCAACACATGATGTGCAATCGGCAACATGCAGTGTACAAAATGTCAAGGTATTATACGAGTAAATCATAGAATATGTAATCTCCAAGGCATGATATACAAAGTATACATTGTATCATGCTGGTGTCTTATACACAGACTAGAAGGCTTGGAACAACAGCCCAAGGCCCGTTGATCTGAAAGCAGACGACGGACCCCTGGTGCGTAGACACCCAACCCTGGAGATCCAGTAAGAGAGAGGAACAACAAAGCCCTCAAAACAAAGCCACAAGCAACAGTCTAGATAGGGATATCCCATAATTATGAATGCCCGTATTATGGAGCCCGGTAAGGTCGGAGATCCTGATAAAAATGCTGATGCTAATCTCCGTTTTGGGGCCCCTAAAACAAAGCAAAGACCTCAGTTCCGAGGGCTCCGCGGCGGTCGCGCCGGCCCCTGCTCAAAGTCGGGATAAGCCCCACAAGCCGACCTACGAGTAGTTACTTAATAAATTACACATCTATATATATATATATATATATATATATATTTCTATATACATATACATATACATATACATAGATATATATATATATATATTATATATATAGGGGCTTGTCCATTTAGAACAAGGCTTTGGTGCATATTATAGTCACAATAGCACCAGGAGCCCTAAGGAATCATGCCAGAACATATTCAAGCCCCTATATTACGGACCTACCGGAAGAGCGAGGAACCATTCTGCTGGTCTGGGAGGAATAACCCCAATTTCGAGTTTTGGGTTTAGGGGCCTAGGGTTTAGGTCTTTCGGGTTTAGGGCTGCGGGCTTCGAGGGTCTTAACAATAAACCCTAAACCATCACAAATGCGAAATTGCAGCCTGGATTTCCGTCGCTTGCTTCGCGAGTGGCTCTTCTTTTTGCTGCGGCTCTTCTTCCTGGCCGTAGTACGAGAAACATGGTTCTGCAGGGTTCTTAGTACGGGCGTGTAGGGAGGCTTAGACGCGTGCTGACCGTAATTGTGTTGGGCTTTTGGACCCCGCGCTCGCTGTGCTCCCAGGCCTTCATAACTGTGGCCATGGGATGGAAAAGCACCGCTCGCGTGAAGATCGGAAGAACAAAGGGAATCCGTCTGCTTAGGGCTTAGGGCTTAGGGTCTTCAGGTGTTAGAGTTTGGGGTTCCCCCAGCAAGGCTACCTGTTTGCATGATGCATCCACGACAGCCGCAAACTGCATGAGTACCCTGCTTGCGGCCTCCCTCCCTCGCAAACCCTGCACACTGCCCCGCAAACCCGAAACCCCGTACGCCCCTTTACCCCAAACCCTACACCCTGCACCCTGAAGGGGGCCTTTTTGAGGCGTCGGAGCTGTCTGACTTCTCTCGCTTCTTCCGCCTCTTCTCGTCGGAGCTATTCGACTTCTCCCGCTTCTTTTTTCGAGTGCGACTTCTAGATTTCGACGCCCTGGGTGGTCGAGGGGTGTTTAGGGTTCCCTTGAAAGGATCTATCAGGGTTTAGGGTTTTAGGGTTTAGGGCTTGAGTTAGGGTTTAGGGTTTTAGAGTTTAGGGCTTCAGGGTTAGTGAGGGTTTATCGCTTAAGGCCTTGAGGGTTAGGGTTCTGTTCGAGGTTTACAAAGTTACTGGGTTTTAGCTTGGGGTTTAAGATGGTTTAAGGGTGTAGTGCTTATGGTTAAGAGTTTATGCTAGCAGTCATGGGACAATCCAGAAGCGAATCACTTGTGGATGAACTACAGAAAGAGCAATATGACGGCTCAGAGCCACTAAAGAGATCTGTACTGTCTCTAGATGGTTAAGAGTCTAGGGCTCAGGGAACTTGGTGTTGGCAAGTTTTTTGATTTGTTCTAGGTTTGGGACGGTTTGGGGTATCGGATCTGAGATTTGTGGGCTTGGGACTCACAATCTGGCCCTAAACCCCTAAACTTTATGATAGACCCATTGTTCACCCTATGATAAACAATATGATAAGACCTAGTGTAAGCCCTGGAAGGCTACACTAAACCCTGCTCATTACCAACCTTATTTTAAAACCCACTAGAAGCCCGATTATAAGCCGGAATTTAAAAAAAAAAAAAAAAGCCTTTGGGGCTTCCAGCTTCGCTATTAGCTATCCCACCAGGGTGCCAGCCGCAAGAGGGAGAGCGAAGCCGTAACCCTAGCAGCTCTCTAAAAAATGAACCCTAAAGGTTTAGGGTTTAGGGTTTAGGACCTACTAAAGCCTCAAGACCAGATTCAACCCGTAGACTGTTGAACAGAAGGTCACAAGGCGCCGGCGATTTAGATTTCGACTTCTTCTTTTTCTTTTTGCCAGACTCTGCCTCGGATCCCAAAGGCTTCTCCCTGTGGGTCCCGGGAAGGGGGGATGCTCCTTAGCATGTAGCGCTTAGGGTATCGAGTACAGGGTTTAGGGCCATTTAGGGGTTTAGGGTAACCCGAAACTGCGAGCCTTTAACACCTAAGGTCCTTGCCGTCCCGGAAGGTCTGCTCATCCGAACTCCGCTTTTGCGTTCAAGCCACGAAAACCCTGAACCCAAATCCCAAATCCCAAAACCAATAAATAACTTCGTGCATAGCCGAAACCGATCCTAAATTCCAAAGCCCGAAACCGTAAACTCCATCTGGCTTCAAACACTTAATCTAGGGACCTTAACCTTAAGAAACATGATCTAGGTTTCCCAGTAGCCCCTACATGACAAGGGTACCCTTTTTCCTATTATTTGGTTTTGTTAAGGGAACCCCAAAAAAAAGCAAAGGGCTACTACTGGGGAACCTAGTGATCAGGTTTGGGGGCAACTAGATTGTACTATGCTTATTCTAGGAGCCCTAAGAAGCAGTAGCTCGTACTAAATTTCAGGCTTCTACATTTCTCTCCAACAGCCCAGGAAGGGGGAGCTCGCGGTTGGGGGGGTTGTCCTGCATCCAAAAACCCCCTCAAAATGTCCCTAAACCCTAAACCCTAAAGCCTAAACCCTAAACCCCTCAAAATGTCGGGACTCCGCCGAGATGCAGAACTATCGGACGCAGCTTTCTTCTTGTGCCTGGAACGGGCTTTCGGGTTTAGGGCCTTCAGCTTTTAGGGTTTTAGGGTTTAGGGTTTAGGGCTTTAAGCTTTTAGGGTCTAGGGTGGCTTGAGAGGAGGTATCGATGGGCCGAAGGCGGAATTTGGGCTTCAATACACAAGGCCTGAACAGTTAGAACGGAGCTGTTCTGCATATTATACTTGGGATATTATCCCTGCTTGTATAATCCTCTTGGCTGCTAGGGCCTGCTAGGGGGGCTTCCCAGCCTAAGGGTTCCACGCAGTTTCCTGCCCTCAAGGCAAAGAGTTGCAGGGTGCTGGCTCACATCTTCGGTCACCTGTTTCAAACGGCGCAAGAAGTTACGAGTGGGCTTAGGGTTGACAGCAGCATCACAGCGACTGACGAGAGACCGCAACATCTGAGTAAAAACAGCAGACAAGTCTCGAAGCCCCTATCCTTCTCAACGCCGTGAACCCTAAAACCCCAACCACAAAATTCCCAACCCCTCAAGTCCCACCCCTAAGGCCTCAAATTTGAAAGCACACACCTCAAACCCCGGAGTGGTGTTTGGCTTTAGCATCCAGCTGCTTACCTTGTTGCTTTTGTAACGCTTTTGCAGTCTGCAGGTAGAGAAAGCAGGCAAAGCTGCATAGCTTTAGGCCTTGAGATTTGGGCATGTTGGACTACAGCGGAGTCTTCCTACCCGTGATTCAGACTCCTGTCTTTTTATACGGTCTCGAGGCAGGATCATACAGACGGAGCGCCTGCTTTGGCCTAGATCCTGAAGCCCCAACCGACACACCCAAAAACCTCAATCTGTGTTTCAGTGGTTGTTAGGTGTTGGGCTTAGTTAGGCCTCTTACTTCCACGAGGTCTTGAATGTTCTCAAAAACCTTGAAACCTGAAAAGCTGAACCCTGAACCTGTTCGGGACTGTCGGAGACTGGCTGAAGCAGAACTTCAGGGTTTTGGGTTTAGGGTTTAGGGCTAGGGATAGGGAGTCGACCCTAAACCCTAAACCCCGCACCCTAAACCCCGAACTCCAAACCCTAAACCCTACCTTCAGGGCAGGATTATCCAAGCTTAGGCTTCAGGGTCCGGGTCGTCGGGCCATCGAGGCTGAGGGAAGATAAGTCTCAGATCCATGATTCGAACCCGAGGGCTCCTGCTCGAATTATACCGTAGCTATACTGTAACTGCACTATAGCTTTCATGTATATTGCAAAAAAGTCATAATTACTGTAAGTTAAGCTGCTACTATAATTACTATCAGGCCCTTATACTAGGGCCAGTTGGATCGAATCTTGGGCTAGGGCTTCTTGCTCTTCGACCGCCCCCTGTCTGCCTTCATGTGGCGGAAAGGGTTGAGGGTCTGGAGTCTAAGGTTTAGGGTATTAGGGTTTAGGGTTCAGGGTTGAGGGTCTGGGGTTCAGGGTTTAGGGTCTAGAGTTCAGGGTTTAGGGTTCAGGGTTTAGGGTTTAGGGGAAGTGCGGAGGGCATCTGGAGTTCACAAGGGCTTCAAGGCTTGTTCTTTCTGGCTGTAGTGGAAGGTTTCGTAGGGTCCTGGAAAGCGTTTCACCCAGGGGGGGGAGGGGGTCTGCGGTTCTTGAAGGCTTGTTGATGGGATGATGGCTGGCTTTTGGGATTTCTGCCGCCCCGCAAGTTAAACGCGGACAGGAGTTGATCATGTTTAGTGGGTTTGCATGTATGTTCATGGAGTGGTATTGAAAGCCTAGATCTCGTGAGGCTACGGTTAGTCGGGGTGTGGGATCCAATACGGGTACTGCTGAAGCCCGAAATACAAGTTGCCCCAAACCCGAAACCCCAAACCCCAGCCATGGAAGCTCCCGAAACTCCGCACCCCATCCTGATTAGGGTTTTCCTGCACCCTGGAAAACCTACCTTTTTAAGGACTTGTATGAGGAAGTCATGATGAGGAGCCCTAGAAAGGTAAGCTATTTGGGGTTAGGGTAGGGCTTAGGGATCCACAATCAAGAGCCTAGGGTCGCCGGCATCCCCACTTTTGCAGATGTAATATAGAAGCCGAAAAAATTATCGACATTACTGTTAGGGTTCCTTAGTATAAATAGACTATGAAGGGGCCCCAAACCCTACTCTGATTATTAAGGGCCCTACATTACTGAACTCGACAAGCTGCCATACAGTCTCAATAGCACAGCCCTCAATTGCCTGCATTCCTACTGTTGGTGAGATAAATCCTGCACTACCTCAAGGACCCTAAACTATGGGAATTATGGTATATTCCCTGCTATGGGTAATGCAGGATATGTATGTATGTATATATATATACATATGTATATATATATATACATACATACATAGATATATATATATATATATATATACATCATCAACCGTATGCATGCACACAGACCACGGTGTATGCGACAATCAAAAAGCATATATGGTGTTAGTGCACTTGTGTGTTCGCACAGTTGCAAATATGCCTGTCTGAAATGATAAGTTCACAATGACATTGCACACATGTATATATGATTATATGTATATATATATATACACACAGGGTGAAAGAGAAAGAGGGAGAGAGAGAGAGAGAGACAGAGCGCGCGCGAGAGACAGGAACAGCGGGGAAGAAATAGAGCGAGAAAGAGGGAGAGGGCGCGGAGAGAGAACGAGAGAGAGAGAGAGAGTGAGAGCGAGACTAAGAGAAACAACTGGAACCCTAGAAGGAAACTAAAAACCACATTCATGTAGCACATCAGTTCACATAATACTGTCTTCTCTACATCTACGTAAAAATAAAGACAATGAAATAATTGGAAATGGGACCGCAAAATGGAGTAGCAGCGAGCATACCAACAACTATACTAGTCATCACCGTCATTGCAACGCTATTCTCGTTCATCCAGCGAAACCACACGAGCAGTCAACATCCACACGGACACACAGACACACTTGGACGTTGCTGACATTCGGCTTGATGAGGTGCTGGAACACAAAATTACTGCACGACGTGACACTCTGAACGAGATGGCGATGAAGGTGGTAATGAAAAAATGAAGTTGAGATGAAAGTAGAAATGGCACACTAAACACAGATGAATGATTCAAGGGGTTAGGGTCCTCTCCCGGCGTGCCGGGCACAACGAATGGCACGCCAAGTGAGATAAATGAGTAGGATCCCCCCACTGCCCACGCTGGAGCCCGAACCCTCCCTCTGTCTCCCTGCAAAACGATGAACATGAAAAGTAGAGCGTGTGGGAGAGACCCTTCCTTCAAGGAACTATATAGGAAGATCCACGGATACACAAACACATACAGAGACACGCACACACACACACACACAGGCACACACAGCCGGGCAACAGGCCTCCACAGCCAAATCCGAATATGCCCATGCCGTTGATCATCGTGGTATGGCCTCGAAAGCAAGTCTTGTCATCCTAGCTTGTTGGGCCTGGCCGAGGCGCAGCATGAAATATTTTCATCCGCAATGTTGAAACGGGAATAAATTCAGCGAGCGAAGGCGAACGGTCTTTAGATCTACAACTCACTGCAAAAAGCTGACATGCTGATATCAAGACACAGAAACCCCAGCCCTGAAGAGAAGTCACAATGTCGGCATAAACACGGTAAGCCACTCAGCCCTGTCGGACCCAACACACAAAAAGGTCGGACCCACCGTGAACCTCGAACCGGCAGAGCTCGAACGGGCGGAAAATGCAAACAGTGGCACTGTAGAAGCGTGAACACACGAAGCTTGCCACAACACAATTAACCTTAAACCCTAAACCCCAAAACTCTAAACCCTAAACCCCTAAACCCTAGACCCCAAACCCTAGACCCTAAACCCTAAACCTTAGACACACAGAAAGCCTTCTCAACGAAGACATGACAAGTAAACAAAGGTGCAGCTGGTCGAACGCCAACAGGTTAAGTAGTTCGGTACAAAACCGAACAACGCGAACGTTTAGGATTTAGGGCTTAGGGTTTAGGGTTTAGGGTATAGACACAAGTACGTTCATCAATTTCAGGACAGAAATGATGCACTACTGCCTGCAGACATAATCACATGACCGTCGTGCTAGTTACCGTGGAAAAAATTAACAGCCGCACCTCCCCTATACCCTACCCGAAACCCTAAACCCTAAACTGCAAACCCCAACCCTAGACTAACCTTAAACCCTAAACCCTAAACCCTAAACCCCTAAACCCTAAACCCTAAACCCTAAACCACAAATACTCGCCTCCTTGCTTCTCGCCAGTTCAGAACCAGCCCCCGAAACCTAAATCCCACACCCGAAGCCTGAAACCCTAATGTAGGGGCCTTAATAAGTACCTATACCATTTTGGGGGTTCCTTATTTTCAACAGAATATGATATACCCCAAAGAGTAAACCCTAATCGAAAAACATCTGAAGATTGAGCTTGGGGCTGTCTGTGCCCACGCAGGCATCGGGGAACACCGTACCGTCTTGGACCAGTGCTACCTGTGGGTTTTTTGTTTCAAGCTCCTTTTGCCACCTGCAGAACGCAGGGAGGGCTTAGGCTTCAGGGCTTCTTCAGGGTTAGGGCTTAAGCTTTAAAGCGTTTTCCAAAGCCCCAACAGCTTTCAAAACACCATCTGTCCTTGGTACTTCTTCCTGCTGCCCGTAGTAATACCCGAATGTATGCGGCATTCCTGTCACTGGTATCCTGATTGCTGTTGGGAGTTGGGATTGCTACTGTTCTTGACAAAACTGTAAGTAGGATGGTTCCCGCTAGTTGCTTCATGGTTTCGAAACTACTTCAGCCACAAGCTTCAAGCCTTGCTTACCATAAGTTCGCCCCTATCAACCTGATTGTAGCACCATTTCATCGAATGTGTCTGCTGCAAGTTCTGTGACGATCGCTATTATTATCCTGATTGCCGTGATGATTCACGTGCTGACCCTGAACACCAAATAGCTACTGTCATCGCCGTCATCGCTACCGATTTTTTGGCGAGCGTTCCTGAGCTTTCATTCCACAGGAGCCTCTGCAAGCCGCTCGCAATGCACTTGATGCACGATGCCACTGCCCGGTGGCCTCAGGATTTAAGGGGGCTTAGGGCTTTAGGCTTGTGGTCAACAAGCCGTCGAGGGCGGGCCTTCATGTAGAAAGCTTTTCGGGTTCAGAAATTCGGCTCTAATTTTTTTGTTGGGGGGGGCTTGGCATTCCAGATGTAGGGTAAACAAAAGAGGTGAGATCCTGTTTTGAAGAGAACACTGCACCCCATGCTTACTGCTTTTACGCTGCTGATGCTTGGGCTTTGTGGTCTCCGAAAGTATATGGCATCAAAGCTGGCTTAAAGCGTAACCCTTACAGCCGAAACCAAACCCCAAACCCCGAATCTTAAGCCCTAGACTCTTACGATTCGAACTTTTTGTCGCTTCGGGAGGAAAGGATGTAATTGGGAGGAAAGCTTGCAGGGACAATTGTAGGGTTTAGGGTCTACCAGAAGAATCCCGGGGGCGGGTACGTGCATACGTACGTTCCTGTACCGGTACGTACGTAGCTATAGTACGTACGTATTCGTTCGTACCTACGTACGTATGTCAGGACGAACAAGCATTAGGGAGCTATGTATGTACGTACGTACATATGTATCTAGGCAAGTATCCACAGCTGTCCGGGTGTGTGTGCTCGCATGCGTATTTTGTTTGCCGGGGGTGCGGCCTTGCGGATGTACGTACGCTTGGGAAGTGCGGGGGACAACACTTTACTCCTCAATCGGCGGGAGGGTGGGAAGGAGCGAATATGTAAGTACATAAGTACAGCTTATACAGTAACTCCGGATATGAAATGAGGGGGGGCCGCATGTATGCATGTATGTATGTACTTACGTATTATGTAGCTATATATCTGTTGCAATTGGCGGGGGAAAGGTCACAGAGTTCAAAGGCAAGGGTTTTTGGACCAAGATCGTTGAGCGAAAACGCTCGACTTTCATAGGCTATACGGCTGTGAGATCAAGGTTGATATGATGAAGAAATCGGAGAGTTCATAGGCTTTTTCACCAAAATCGTCGAGATAAAACATCCGAAACTCCATAGGCTATCAGATCAAACTTGATACGAAGAGGAAATCAAAAAAATCATGCCTTTTCAAACCATATCAGTGAGACAATTGCGCCGAAACTCCAAAGGCCTTGAGATCAAACATGGTTTGATGAAAACGTCAGAGAGCTCATAAGCTTTTTCAGCAAGATCGTCGAGACAAACCTGAAAAACCTCCAAAACTCCATAGGCCATGAGATCAAACTTCATATGATGGAGAAAGTCGGAGAGTTCATACGCTTTACCAACGTCATTAAGAGAAAACCTCCGAAACTCGTTAGGTGGCATGATGAACCAGCCACATAAGCTTTGCAAGCAACATCATGGCAGAGTCCTGCCCGCTTCTGCAATCATCTTGGTAAGCGGCTGCTGGAATCCTGGAATGTCATCGAAATCTTCTGGTGCATGTCGTCGCTGGCTTCGAAGGCACTCAATTGGGCCACATTGATGTCCTTCATGACTGCAGCTTGAGGTGGCTGAGGCAACGGCGGCGGCTTCCTTCATGATAGATTCCATTGGGACGCTGTCCGCGACCATGGCATCGTCAAACTTCAATGTGACGCCACTCATGATTAGTTCACCACCTTGTCCTCCAGCAACGATTTGTCGTTGGATGTCTCGCGGATGATTTCTGAAGACTTGCATTTGCGAGCTTTTGCCTCCCATTTCCTTGATTTTCACGAACACCCTTTCAAGGTATTCCTGGTTCTCGCCCAAAAGTCGTAGAGGGCCCTCTGTCAATATGCTGTTTTTCCATTTCGTGTCCAATCCGCCTCTCGGATGTGCCTCTTCGCACGTCCTGGCTGCAGGAGGTGTCGCCTGCATCCGGTCGCGGCTCATGCTTCGGTAGCAGGTTGATCTCGCTCAAGCGGAATTTCCGGCAAAGCTTTTTCGGCTTGCCACACGCGCTCGGCCGTCTGGTGCTCCAGGACAACTCGCCCGTCCGAATGGACCTCACGATGGGCGAGCACCGGCATGGGGTCGTCCTCCCCTGGAAGAACAAAGTGTTGGGAGCAGTACTTGCTTCCGCGAACAGGACGGTTAGCGCAGCAGAGCCGCTTGCCAGGGAGTTGTTCTAACTGCTGCCGCTACCCCGCAGGTTGCAGATACTGCACTGAAGGCACCATTTGCCATCCACAACGATGAGGAGCATGGCTTGCGTGATCTTACAATCGTGTGTGTTTCGCCAGAGGCGCGCTGGCACATCGACAGAAAAGGCTTCAAATCGGTCACGAAATTATGCTGTCGCACGCAGAGTAAGGTCCCGCCGAGGTCACCATGATGTCCACTTAACCAGATCATGCGGAGTGTGCCCCCAACGAAAACCTGGGGTGTGACAATTACGGCCGGTGCATGCAGGGGAGAACCACAAGGATGGGTAGGTACGTTGGCAGGTAGTAGGGAGGCGGCACGTACGTGCGAACCTACCCGCGAGAAAAACGAATGGGGGGAGGGGGGCATGTATACATGCATGTATGTACATACTAACTGGGCACCTCAATTGGTCGGGTACATACGTATGTTACTACGGAAGTACATTCCAGCATATCTCTGAGCAGGCACATGGGTAGGCATGTAATTGAGTACGTACTTACATAATTACATACGTATGTACGTACGTACACGCCTGCCCCCGCACCAAGGGGGCGGGGGTGTATGTGTGTATGTACATACGTACGTACCTTGGGCTTCCTTATCAGGTCTATAGGCTGTTTTGCCAGCTCGTTGCCCTCTTGGAGCCTTGCCTTCCGTCTCTGACATCATATTGAACCCGAAACTGGCTACACTGTAGGACTAGACAATTTATTGCTTACAAGCACATAGCACATGAAGCTTTCGGGTGACAGTATACATATCTCTACTGCGCTGCTTATATACAGGCATGCTTCGTATGCTTTTCATTCTACTGAACCATTGGTTGGACGTCAGAACTTGCATGCCATGTGACACGAGGTTGAAGTTCTGAAAGCTCTGCTGTGCCCACTTCAAGAACTGAAAGCGGTCGGAGTTGCGCTCCATTTCAATCTCCATGTTCCTGACAGAATCGCTGGAGGCGGTGATTTTCATGCTCCACGAGCGCTTGCAAGCAGATGCGAACTGAGATGGCTAGCACTTGCTTCTCTGCCCCAATGGAGCCTTTTTGAAAAGACACTGAGCATGTTCGCTTCGTCCGCACGCAGGCGATGACAGCGAAGACGACAATTCAGGCGTGTCTGTGCGGTACACTCTCAGGGCGGCTGCATGGAGCCCTTGCCGTAGTCAACTGCACATCCGACACAGCTTGGGGCCTGTAAACCAACAACCGAAAGCCACAGCTAATGTAGGGGCCTTCATGATCAGAAAAGCCTTCTTGGGTATGTTCTGCTATTTTCAGACAAAGGATCTAAGGACTTTAGGAGGGACCCCTAACAGGGACCCTAAATCCCATTACCTTATATAACCATTGTACAGTCCTTATATACCCCATATTTAGCCAGGTAGTCTCCATATTAACCCCAATAACCTACAAGGGTCCCTACTAAGGGTCCCTCCTAAACCCCTAGAAAGGAAGCCTCAGGAGTACCCTAAACGCTAACCCCTAAACCCTAAACCCTAGGCTTCCATGTTAGCCTTCCTGTCCGGCGCACCTCCGGAGTGCATCCGGCCTTCCCGCGACGTCCACGGAAACGGAATGGTCGACGACCTGAGATCTTCCACGGCTTAGGGTTTAAGGTTTAGGGGTTTAGGGTTTAGGGTTCAGGGTTTAGGGTTTAGGGTTTAGGGTGTAGGGTTTAGGGTGTTTAGGGTGT